ACTTTTTTGGAATGTCACATGATCTAAATAGTGTGTAAAAGGGGGCGTGGCCACGGCTCTGACCTCTCTTCAGCTTCCGGACGGCCACCATGCGGTGATTGGCTGACGTCTCCCACAGACGGAGGGTTTTATCGTCGCTGACGGTGACACAGACGGGAAGGAGAGGATGGGCGGCCAGACCCCACACCTCTCCTTCCATGTGACCCTGAACAGCAGAATCATAGGCACATGTTTAATAAAAGATTAATCCAATAAACAACCTAATCTTTCAGATTTAAAAAATCTTTATCATATTACTAAGAATATTCTAATATTATTCGATTTTTTTATTTTGTATATTCTTTACAAACATGTTTAGATTTTATTATACTGTAAAGGGATAATAAGATATAAAATAAGAAAGACTAGAAGAAAATCTGATTATTTTCACATTAAAGTATTTTATTGTATTTTCCATGTGAGAATCAGAAGCATAAACCTCCCTCAGCAGGTGGATCTAAACCTAAATGTTTTCCATGATTGTTTCTGTCCGGTTCTGCTCAGAGTTCCAGCAGAGCGGAGCGTCAAAGGGAAGGAAAACCCACCTGCACCAGCAGGGTCATGGGTCCGGTCTTGTCTATCTCCAGAACTTCTCCGTTTTTGGTTCCCACCAGGATGTGACCGTGACCCAGACTGATGGCTCTGATGGACGGGTTGTCCTCCAGCAGAAGGCCTGTTCACACACAGAGGAACTCCATTCAAGCTAACAGACTTTCCTGGACGTTCAGAATGAACGTTGGAAAACCAGAGAGCCAGCGAACAGCTTCCATCTTTGGATCAAACCTCAGACGTTTTCTCAGCTGAAAAAACATTTTTCTAATGTCTGGCACCATTTTATACCTTTAATAGCACAGAATCTCTGCTGTGGATAATTATTAACACTCAGAGACATGTCACAGTTTGTCCACAGGAGGGCAGTGTTACATTGCTTAAAGACAGCTGGAGGGTTGAGTGGAGTTTCATAAATAATTCAATTACTAAATATGGCATCTTGGTTTCAGCATTAGTGTAAAAAACAGGAAAATCTCCATAAGAGCTTTGAAAATGGTTTTTCCTCTTCCATCCATCCATC